CCCTATAAGGTTGATTTAGTGGTTCAGCCAAAACCTTCTATTTGATTGTAGGTTATATGTGATGAGCAATATGATTCAAACTGATACATTGGAAGTGGTTGCTCGGTACTTCTTTGAAATCAGACAAGTGTTCCATCAAACAAAATGAAATTACAAATTGGATATATAATCGCTTAAAATATAATGAAATTAGAAATTGGATACATATTCTTTTTTGAATACTAATCATGTAAGAGCCAAAAAGATTTGGGTACCTACTTCTTCTGTTTGAATACATGTTCTATGTGACTAACAATATGATTCAAACTGATACATTGATAGTAGTTGTTTGCGTCACATGACTAGAAAGAAGGGATATCTTAACAACAATCGAAAATTGAATAATGCAAGAGAAGTAAAGTTTGGTAACAACAACAAGTGCTTCATCAAAGAACATCGATCCAAGATTCAAACATAAGCATATGAAAGGATTTTATTGGGTTACTCACAAAATTTAGTAACATATCGAGTGAATAAACGAACAAGAAAAATAGAAGAAACCTTTAATCTCGTTTTTTATGATCATTACATCAAGAAAGTTGAGCATAAGTTTTTAACAAAATAAAATTTTCCAAATAATAATATCGAACCACAAAATTAACATTGTAGGGTCTTCATTTATTTGTTATACAAATCGAGTTTCTAAATCAAACTAAAATCTCCTGAAGGGTGGCTATGTCGTTTTTGTTGGCTTGTATGTGAGGTTGAACCATTGGACCAACATTCATTTATTTTTTGCACAAATCTACCTTCTAAATCGAGCTTCAAAACCATAAAAACATCTTCTGAATTGGTCAATTTGTTGACATTGCAACAAAATTATAAACGTAATCACACAATTTTGAAAATAATAATAATAATAATAATAATAATAATAATAATAATAATAATAATAATAATAGTAAACTAATGTTAAAATTGAAATTATGTGCTAATATAGTGACTTTCTTGCACTTTGAAACTCAGTGTCAAAATCGAATTTTTGGTAAACTTAGTGACTTTTTTCAATTTGGGAAAAGTGGTTACCAATAGAAAATGGAGAATCGGTCATTTGGTTAATATCGTAATCAAATTGTAAATCTAATGATATAATTGAGATAAAAATGACTCGATGTAAAAATTGAAATTTTGTGGTAATATAATGAAATTCTTGCAAATTTCCCTTTAATATATATATATATATATATATATATATATATATATATATATATATATATATATATATATATAGAGAGAGAGAGAGAGAGAGAGAGAGAAAGAGAGAAAAGAAAGAGAGTGAGAGTCAGAATCTTTTGCGAACCCATATTATTCCATAAATTTTTTTGTATAATTTTTTTATATAAAAAAGTGACTTAAGGCACTATGTCGGCCATATAGAAGGGCATTCTTAAACAAAATATTGAAAAAAAAGGTGTACACATGAAGTGATGGTTTTCACATTAATAATGCGGAAAATACCTTAAACTCTTAAGGGTACATGCAATCTAATTTGATCTATGACATAACTCTATTTAAGCAACATATTGATTAAACAACAAAATTCTAAACCCTAATTGAAATCATTATTTACAAGGATAATAACATACCTCTGATTTGTTATTATAAACAAACCTTTTGATCAATCCAATAATCACTTGAAAACTAGCTTCAATTGTGTGCAAGCCTCTAATGGTTCAAGCTCACAACACAAGAACCTTAGAGGATTTAGGAGATAGGAGGCAATTTTTGATTTTGTGTGTATGATTGTATTGGCCAAAAATTTCAAGTCTAAAATCCTATTTATAGCTGGTTACGAAACATCTAGAAACTCTAATTTGAACATAAAATAATATTATTTCAAATAAGGTAATTATCTAGTTCATTTATTATCTACATGAAGGCTTCCAAAATGCTCCAAGAGGAGCCTTTAAACCGTCAATCATAGGAAGGTTCCGGAACCTGTCATCTGCTCAACTGTTGATCAATTGCAGCTATAGTCCTTTAACGTTTAATTAATTATAATTAACCCATACTTAACTCCAAATTAATTTAGATTAATTGTAAATTAATTATAAATATTTCTAATTAATATATTAGTCATATAATATATATTAATAAAATAGTTATCTCTCTCTAAAATCAATCTAGATAATTTTTTGGTTATGAGGGCAACCCAAAAAGGATTTTACTTTTATTCATCAACATTATACCAATTTAGTTAGAAGTTTAGACACCTTAATCCGATAGTCTCCCACTTGGATAAGTCGTGAACTACAATTGCTCGTACAACTCCTAATAACCAATAAAAAGTGTTTTCAAGACACTACCAGACTCTGATGGTCCTAAGATAAGTGATCACATATTCCCTCGTTCTTCTAGATATCGTTTAAAAATTAGACATGGATTAGAATTTATCTATTTTCCAAGATTTTTTATCCTAGTATTCTCGTTTTGTGATGACGTCATTAGACTACCAATTAAACACATCAATTTGGTCCTGGTGCCCAACATTATAATATCAAAATGTAAACACTGAGAGACCCAAAGATATCACTTTCCTTATTAAGGAAAAAAGAAATGAATAAACTTCAACTATATAATCATAAAATTTCACTCATTAAGTTATACATGGAAATACCCTTTATAGCACCCACTTATGAGATGTGTTAGAGTAAACCAATGCACAACTAACTCCTGAAATACAACTCACATATATTTGTTTTAAGAATAGAGTATATTATCATCTTAAAATTTCTCGTCATTAAATCCATGAAGTAATCTCTAAGCGCGGGTCTAACCAATACTCAAAATCTCTATTTCTAACTACTCATGAATTTTGCAGTAATCCAAATGCAATTTCTAGTCTTTATGGACAATCTACAAACAATTCATGACAGTCTTAAATCAACACTTACTTCCAAATTAGCACTAACTGTGGTGCTTCGAATAACTTAATATTCAGGAAGTAAAACATGAAAATTGAAACACAATAATAAATTAATTGACAAATAGCATCATACACGTTAAATATAAAGAAATCTCTATTTAATTAATCACTATTCAATTACAATTTTAATTGCTATATATTTTCAAAATAATATCAACACTAACATCTAAAATCTAATATCATCTCTTAGTACAATGCTCCTAGCATGCTCAAAGCGCTTGACTTTGTTCAGACCCTTTATGAGAGGATTAGTAGGATTCTCTTTTGATGATACACAATTCACTACAGGTGTATCTTCTTCAACCTTATGTCTAATGTAGGGATATTTCCTCTTGATGTGCCTAGATCTACCATGATCTTTAGGTTCTTTTATCAAAGCTACTACACCCTCTTTGACGCAGAAAATCTCCATTAGTTCTTGGATTAATGGAATAACTCCAACATCTCTAATAAAAATCTTTAACCATATATCCTCCTTTTCCAATCTCACTTGTTGTGATATACCGTGATTCACAAGAGGAATCAGCCACCGTCTATTATTTGGAACTCTTCCAAGTTACTGCCCCGCCATTTGACAAGAAAACTCAACCATATTGAGAATAACTATTATCTTGATCTGTTTGAAAATTCCCACTCACCTTAAGTTCATCTTTGTCGCCAGAAACTAATATCATATCATTTGTTTTTCACAAATAATAAAAAATGTTCTTCACTATTGTTGTAACACCCTGTTCTGAATCGTTTCCTAATTAGGAGCCGTGGCCTGAAGATCAATTATCACAAGGTTTTGGGCCTTAGTGAAGGATAGATTTAGGCCCCTTTAGGTGTAGATAATGTAGAATGGGTGATCCAGGAGTTCGATTTGTGTATTGAAGCCCAAGGAGATAACCGTAAAATGTTCGTTTAAGCCTTTTATGAATTTTGGATTTAAGTTTGGAAATTTTTAAGGGAATAATGAGTTGGTAGAAGTGTAGAGCTTCTCATTACCTTTCCATAGATATAAAGATCGTCGAAATCGGACTTAAAACGAAGAAGTTATGGCCTTCGTAAAATTGGTGGTATTAGGGTTAAGCCTAGTACGTTGGGCGTACTAGGAAGATGGATCAGGGATGCCCTCTTGAGTACGTTGGGAGTACCAAGAGTACGTAGGGTGTTCTCCAGTCAGGTGAAACCCCTAATTTAGGGTCGTGGACACTATTTAATGGCCTTAACTCAACTCCAAACCCTCTTACCTTTAGCTTCCATCCCATTAAACCCTATATACGACACCCTAACGACCATTAGTGTGATTCTTGAGTTCTTGGGATGGTTTCATGTGTTTTGGTGCTCATTTTAGAAGAATGAGCTTCTTCAAGGAGTGTTGGATTACTTGAAGCTTGTGGATCAAGACTTTGTGCATCTTGATTTATCTTCTAAAGGTATAAAGCTTCAAACTTTATGGTTCTTTAGTATAGATCTAGTGATGGGAATGGTTATAATCAGTTTTGGTCCCAAGAGTATGGTTCTTGTGAGTAGAAGCTACTACATAACCTTTCAGCCTTATATTTGGTCGTTGTTGAGGTTATTAAGTCATAAAAATGTCATATTGTGGGTTTTTGATGGAAAATGATTTAGTTAGTGATCTCATTATAGATATAAATCAATAAAAACAAGGATTGGGTCCCATTAAGTCACGAAAGGGTGTAAATTTACCAACTTTACGTGTTAAGACACCATTTAAGATCAGATCTGAAAGTTTGGCATAATGTCTTAACCAATTAAGTGCTTAATGGAAGGTTTGGTTGTCTATGGAGTACACTAGGCGTACCCAGCTCGTACGTTGCGCATACTGGCCCAGAGGAAGTATGTTGGGCGTAAGTCTGAGTACACCAAGCGTACTCAACAACTTGACTTTTGTTGATTTTTGCATTTTGGGCCATTTTTGGACTATTATGGTGTTAGGCCTTATGGTCCCAATAGTCTTTCTGACTTTAGGACATTATTAGGATTTGGGCCTTCTTGGATTTAGGCCCATAATGGTTTTTGGGGCTCAATTAGGAGTTTAGGCCATATTGGGCTTTAAGATCCATTAGATTGGGACTCGGTATTAAGAAAAGGGAGGTCGTAGTCTAATCACGAAATCTTTTATAGTACGTAATGCATTTTAGCAATTTTAATCTATATGAAATTACTAGATCATTTGA